TTTAAACTAGTTTCAGTCAACAATAAAATAGGAAGGATATCACCCACTTAAAAACAGCTTAAATTACAAAAAAAAAAAAAAAAAAATTACATGTACTTTGTCACTGTAAGTTAACAAGGTAAACATTGACATAACTTCACATTATTCTTGGGTTGAAAAAAAATCTGCAGTTTAAAATAAAATTCTGCTTCTGGTCAACATTTTGGATGCAATTCAAAGTTTCTCATAAAATAAACATATTTAAAGAGTGTTTTGAATTTCGCTATATAATTCCTAGCCAACAGAAATTACAGTGATATCTTTAAGGTTTATTATGTCATATCAGTAGCCATTCTGCAGGGCTCACAAGCCTGGAGGTGCAGACCTTCCCTCTGCTTAACCCTCCCTGCCGTGTGCAAAGGAAAACCTCCTGTAGGTAGGTGGTCCTTGGGGAAAACCTCTCACAAAGTGAAACTTTCTTGTTTCTTTGTTTAATAACAAAGGTATTCTTTTCTGCTAAAATGGAAAAAGACCTGAATGTTTGGTCAAGAAAGCAAATGTACATTAAGGTAATCTACATGAGCATTTTTTTTCAATAAAAGGGGGAATAGTTTTACATTGTGCATACTAACAAGTTGTTTGGAAGCACGAGCTAAAAAATGAAAATGCTCCATCACAACAGATTGTACATTCTTTCCTGATGCTTTTAAAAGTGCCTCAATCATGTCTATGGCTACAGTATTCAAGTTAAGTATTTGCTATTTTATTTAAACATTTTTGAAAAATGAACATTCTGGGGCTCCTGCTGCATTATTAAGAAAATCTGTCCATACTTTACCATGTTGTTACATGTGTTTATCTGCTGATTATAAAATGTGTTAAACAGTATTTTAAAAACAACAAAAAAAAAATGCAGAGCTGCGCTTTGATTAATTCAGTGAACAAAACATATGCTGTTGGTTCTGTTCTATGAAATTCATATATGATCAATAAAACCTTTTAAAAGAGCAACTTTGGCTTTTAGGCTTGTACTGCCGACCATGATTTTCATTCCAGTTAACTCTGGGTGCATACTGTTAACTCAGGCAAACAAAACTGCTTTCTGGCTATGATAGTAATGGCTTTTTAATGTATCTTTATCCTCTTTCTGAACTTTCTTTAGGTTGGAAGCTGTGTATTGTGGTTGTTACCCACTGTGTCCCAAAGATTTGGTTTATCCCGAAATATTTCCAGGTAGCTGCTTTCACGTACTTTCCTCTTTGTTGAGATTTAATACATGATTCGTGCTAAATGAAAAAGTTTGAAAATAAACTTAGGCAGGAGCAATTGTTTATTTGGCAAGTCAACATGTTAGTGTTAAGGAAAATTTTATGTTTTAATACATTAAAGTAAGCTTATATTTACCATCTGTTCTTTTAAGATAACAAAAAAGCAAGTTTTCAAATAGCATTCCTCATTGTTAGCATACACATCCCATACTGATGGATTTTTATACGCAGGTCATTGTTGCTGCAATTGCTTACAGATTTTTTTAATGATATACACAGAAAAATCGAGGACTGAAAGTCACACCAAATTATTTAAACAATTGACTAGTTAATAACATGCAACTGTTGTACAGGGTACATACGGCAATAGTACCGGTTCTTTGAAAAAAAATCTCATCACTAAATATATCACATATGCATTGTGTTACATTAGAATAATGTATTTTAATCACCCAAAGGAGATGTCTAAACAGCACAACTACACAGTCTTATTTAGCATTAAACATCCTTGTGAGCTGAGGTAACCTTATAAAATCATGCTTAAATAATGTAAAACACGAGGCGGCACAGAGCAATATGCATTTTTAATTAGTAAAGTGACTAATATCGAGTGTGTGCTTTGAGGTTTTTGTTTCATTAAAAATGTATCTGTTTTTCCTGCAGCTGAATATCTGTATTCTACACCTGAACAGCTTTCAAAAAGGCTCCAGAATTTCTGCAAGAGACCTGATATTATAAGGAAACATCTCTATAAGGTAGTTATTGAGAAGAGATTTAGCCAGTATAAATGCCATATTGAAGTACAAAGAAAAAAAAAAATCTTAAAAAAAAAACATTTAATTAACATACTAATGTTTAAAGGAAACATGCTAGGGAGGGATATTAGTTGTTACACTAACAAGGATTAATTAAACTGGATGCCAGTTGTATTAACCTGGGTCTTATGAAATACGTGCACTTAATGCATGGTACATGCTTTTTTTTAATTTATTGTTTTCTAAGATGACTGTCCTTTACATTTAGCCCCAGGAGGCTTATAAAAATGAACCTGGATTAATGTAACTCATTAGTTTAAAAGGAAGTAAAAGAAAGATTCTACAATTACACTAATGAGGATAAGCCTTTCTTCCCATCATAATGAAATCTTCGGTCCTCAAAACTTCAGGTGAATGACATTAGTGAAGTTTGGTGTTCATGTTTTTAAAACTATTTTTAAGAAGATTTTCAAGAATCCAGTGTTTCCCTTGCCCAGTTTAATAAAGTGACATAAGAATCCTCAGTTTGTTTTGAATTAGATTGTCAGTCTCCTCTCTGAATGGCAATGGCAAAAGGAACATAATTTAAATAGCATCATCGTTCAGTCCCTTTATTCATTATCTTTTTTCCCTTGTTTGAATCAAGAATTTTACATTGTTGAAATAACAACACAAAGAGGCCCCACTAAATGTCTAAGTAATTGAACTGGGATAAATCTGCTTTATGAGTTTTGAAGGTGGCTCTAGGCCATGAGTAATATACCTTTTTATATTCTTTGAGTGTAGCATCTTCATTTTCCATAAATTCAGTATAGTTTACAATCTAGCAGTTTTATAATCCAGCCTATTTTAATTTTCATATGTTAATCTATAACCTATGGACATGAAATACAGTTTGCCTCCTTGTGTCTCTCCTTCCCCTTCATGGCCTAAAATACATATTTACATAGCGATATATCAAAACATGACTTTGTTTCTGCAGGAAACAGTTAAACTTCAAGAAAAAGGGAGAGAACCAAAAATGCAATTTAACACCCAATTTCAAGCTCATTATCTTTCATTGTCTATTAACTTGGCAATGGTTCAGAAGGTAGCTCATAATAGTTTAAAATGCTGACTGAACAGTTCCAGGCTGCAGTATTACTCCTTGAGTCACTGCTACTGCATCGGGTACATAGGAGGCTTCCCAGAGAAGGTTTATGTCCAGTTTCCTAATTTTTACCGTTTATTAGTGGTCGTGTTCGTATAAAATATCAATCAGATCGTTTCTCCTGTGACAGACTGTCAAAATGTGCAGAGTATAAAAATTGAAGAAGTAGAATAAGTATTAATATGAATGGATTCATTTGTTATATATGACATTGAGCTATTTTCAGTGAGTTTACCATCAAATTATTGATTTTTTTTTCTCCTGGTGATTTTTTTTTTTTTCTGGTTTTATTGAGATATAATTGATATACAGCACTTTCATATATTGTGAAATGATTACCACCATAAGTTTAGTTATCATTTATCATCTCCTATAGATATAAAAAAAGAAGAAAATTTTTTTTCTTGTGCTGAGAATGGTGAAGTATTGATCATTGTATTTCCACCATCAAAATGTGTCCGTTTTTAACTTGCTTCAAGTTAGGCAGGCCCTGTTATTTTGCATCTGCAAATTTTTAACCATTTCAAAAGTTACTGCAACAAGTTGCCTTTAGTTACAAAACAGATCTCCGGATGAAATATTTTAATACAGCTCCTGCCATAACATAGCTATAGTTATTTTTTTTACAAACAACTTCTAGAAAAACTCTGAAAGAATGTCAGCTTAGTGGTCCGCCGTTAACATGCCAAGTTGCTTAAGAGACAACCTTTACCTTCGAATGTTATTACTTTTTACATATGTTTTTAGTCTATACATCCTAAAATGCTCCATCTCAAAGTTTTAGAAATTAGTATTTCATGCATAAGCATTGATAAAAATTTATATTTATCATTCATTTTTATCTTTTTCTACCATAAATTATTTTCGTATAAGTTGATTATACATTTTCATGTATGTTCTCATTCAGAGATCATCTTGATGATACTTATCTAAAAATTAATCTCAAAAGTTAACAAATTGGTCCAGGAATTATAAGTAACTTTAGAGCTTTAAGATGCAGTTGTCAGGAAAAACTGGTAAAAATGACAGGAAGTGCCACAGATTTAGTGTGGTGGTTGTAACAGGCTTTAGAGCCAAAAGAGAAAAAGAATGACTTCTAAAACTTCAAAATTAAGATAATAAGTTTCGATATTTTTTCACTTACATTTCATAAATATACACCTTTTCAGGTAATATTTGCCTTCACTAAACACCAGAGAATTGTTTCCCCGGGGCAGCTCTATACCCACTTTCTTCTGCAGTGGAAGGAAGTCTTGTGTGTGTCCTGCAAAGAGAATGTTGAGATTTTTTTTTCTTTTTCTTTTTAGATTTATTCCTTTGGACAGTGCTGTTTTGCTTTTATAAAACATATGCTTCCAAGATCTAAAAGGATAGAATATCACTGAATTTTTAAATTTGCTCCTTTTACATTTTTGCACCTTATTCTCTTTTTTTGTGTTAGAAGTTTACATTTTAAAATCATCTCAACTGCTTATCATATAGAGTTCACTTTAGGATAGGATTTTTCATATGGATTCACACTTAGAAACTTAATGACTAGAATAAGGCTACTAACACTTGGCTTTCTTCTCACATGAGACATTATACTTTCAATATGAGTGAGAGTTTGGGGGCTATAACTTGAAGCAGAATTTGAAACAGAATGCTAGTAACTGAAAAGCAGAAACAGAATTTGATACTTTTTTTCTTAAAGTGACTCTTTCTCCAACAGAACACAGTGCTCATGACTTCTCACCTGAAACGGTTTCAGACTTGCAGTGTTTAAGTTGCTCTGACTGCAGTGTTCTCTCTCTCTCTCTCTCTCTCTCTCTCTCTCTGTTCTCTCTCTCTCTCTCTCTCTCACACACACACACACACGCACACATTTTTCTTAAGATCTTAAGAGAAATCCAGTGCACGTAGAAACTAAATGTTTATTAATTGTGTCAAAAACCTAAAATTATTTTTTTAATCTTTAAAACTATTCTCTAAAAAGTTTGCCTCCTGGTTTAGTTGTAGACTGTGGCTTTCTCATATGTTCGAAATGTTTCCTTTTCTAAATATGTTAGACACATCGGCCACATACTTGTCACATAGATAAAGTAGGATCCCTTTATGACTCTCAAACCTTACTTGAACACAAGATTCTAGAAGTAAGCATAAAATAATCAGCCAACCATTGGCTTCTTATACTGACCATAGTTCTTCCTTTTGTAACCCAAGCAAGTCTAATACCATGAATTGTATATATATTTTTGCCTTATTTTTACTATGTGAATTTACTTTCTAAATATTTCTAACAATTGTTTGAAATAATTATTTTATGCTTTTAGAGACCCTTTGATCATTATATTTTAAAATGCTTTAGGAAGGGAAAATGTATGGAGATGCCCTTGTTACCACTATTGAAAATAGCAAGAGTACAAATAGGGCAATTATATAAGTAGGTACTTCCCAGACTCAAGTCTATTTCATTTTTATATCTGTGCTATCTCTTGTTACTACTTTTATTTAAAAACTGAGCAGTATTCTATGTGAAATAATATTCTTGTGCCTTATGAAAGTGACCTGGAGTTTCTTAAGATTTTTCAGATGACAGCTGTTGATTTTTATGTGTCCTCTTCAAGTTCTTTATCATTCTAGAAATCTTAGTAACCTGCTGTTATTTGGAGGGGAGAAGAATGATCAGATTTCTGTCTAAAAGTGAATCCACACAATGATTAAGCTTATAATTCAGACTCGGTGCCCAGTAAAGCCATTTGTGGTTGCCTTAATTATCTCGGGCCATGGCTACAGAACCGCAGACCAGCCACTTCAAGTTCCCTCGCAGAGACCGGTCACTTTATAGTCCCCTTTTAATTTGAACTTATACTCTGGATGTGAATCAGGTGTTGCTCACTCATATTAACAGTTCTCCAAAGCCATTACCGTTTCCTTAAAAGCGGAAACTTAAAAGCTTGTGCCATTTTTAGAACTTCTAAAATCTCTCAACAGCACCAACACAATTTAAGGTACATTCTCCATTCAGTCTCCTCCCTCCCTCCTTCATCACTGTCTTCCTTGATTTTATTTGGCCTGGTTTTCCTTTGATTTGTGTGAGTAAAACAAAAGTAAAAAAACCTTTAGCCCAACAGCTAGACTCTGAGTGATTCAGATCAGTTAGGGATTCTGACTTCTTGTCCTTCTCTGAGGCTCGTCAGCAGCCTCGCTCTAGGTGAACTTCTTAACCTCTATAGGATTCATCTGTGAACTTGGAAGTCTTCTTTTTTTTCTTAATTCTTAATAGCATTTCCCCCCTGAGGTACTGCTCTAATGAAATAATGAGTATAAACCCGTTAGAAAACTGGAAGTGCTTTGTAAATTCCACGTAACTGTAATGGCATTTCTCTTTTTCCTTCACCACTTACAAGTAGAATTCACATTAGCAAAAACATGTATATCTTGTGTTTATAAAAGTTAAAAGTTGGATGATACCCTTCTAATAGCTGTCAGCCATAGCATAAAGCAGGAAGCCGTGTACAGCAGTGTACACGGGAGCAGGGGGGAGACCGGGAGCTTCCCCCGGGCTGGAAAACAGTTCTACTTTAAACCAATCAGAAACTGGGATTTCCTGAGGTGTTAAAACTCGAGAAGCATGTACTTGGTGGCGTTCTGAAATCCAGCTGATGTAAGTGATACAGATTTGCGCTCTGAATCCTCAGCCTACTTTCATCTTTCGGTCACTAATGCTTCTTCATTGCTTTCTTTTCTCTCCCCCTCCCTTGCAGGGTGAAATGACTCCTTTTTCTTGGGCAGCCCTACATGGTAAATTCAGGTCTCTGCTCACAACAGAACCCAGGGAAGATTTGTGACAGATGGGGCTAAGTCACAAACTTGCAGCCTAAGGCAGAATCTGTAGAACTTTCCAGAGTGTGCCCATATTTACCTGATCAGAGAGAAAAGAAAATCTGCAGAGGAAGCTGAGCCTGGCTGCTTGTCATAGCTGACACAGAGCCATCTGCCACAAACCTGTGGCGGCTTCAGATCTCCAATCCCTGCCACCACCCCAACTCAAATTAAATACAGATTCCTAGAGACGTTATGATGGTTACACATGTCCTCGGCATCACATGGAGGAGACTGTTCAAAAAAAAATATGTGGCCTGTTGTATAACCGCATTCATGTAACCCATATGTGGTGCCACATTGAATTTCCGGTGGAATCCGTTTTTATCCTTTGTACTGGATGACATGGTGCCTGAATTCTTTCTTTTTGCCGCCACGATGGCAGCCAAACTGCAGCTTCAAACGCTCGCACTTGGCTGGGTTTCTACCTAGGTTGCCAGGTTATCAGCGGCGCCTTCGTGGGTCCTCCGAGGGCCGCAGGGCCCGAACGCGGGGCGGACTGGGCGGCGGCTCAGAGCGTCTGTGGCAGAGGGCTGCTCCAACACGCTTCTCTTAGCAAATCAGTGACTCTCCGGCTCAGGGGTTTTTAAGGGAAGGTATTAATAAGGGGTCTGGCAGGTATTCCCATGATTCAGAGTTACATTTGTATTTAATTTATCTTAAAGTTGCAAGATAAAGAGCCGTGATTCGGAAAAACACGGGGAACACCCTGAGTGGGGCCACCTTGCCCATCAAATGAAGGCGCGGAGACACGTGTGTTAATATCTGTCCTGGGTACAAAATAGAAAAATCACATGCTTCTAACAGTAATTTTGATACGAATGTTCCTTGAAAAGATTTGGATTCAGCCACAAATAGAATATTTTCAAGATAAATCACTTATAATTCCAAGAGTCACGCTGCTGTATTGGTTGATGTAAAGATGTTTTGAGCGGCTAGATTATAAAATAAATTTTTAATAAAGTGCCCTCTGTCGTTTTTAACTAGCATATTTTATTTACCTGTGAGTGTGTACACGTCTGTCTGTCTGTTTCTCACAGAACACTTTCCTTGTGTCAAGAGACAACGATTACAATTGTTTCTTTTCCGGATGAACAAGGATCTGTTTTGCAAATGTTTGTAAGATATTATGACATTTCCAAGATTTTCTTTGCATTCTGGAAAGCAGGAGGTAAACATTTGTAGTCATTAAGGTAAAGTCTGTTGATAAACCATCTTCTGTTTACTGACAGGTAAATTGTAACTTTCCCGGCTTTTGAAATGAGTTACTTCTCTACACTGCGCGGGAGGAGTAGCCAAGAAGAGGAGGGTGGACAAGGGCCCGAGTGGTCTAGCAGGCATCCTCCATGGAGCAGGCGATGGCCTAGACGTCCCGCAGGGCCCACTGATAGGTAACAAAATCATAAGCAGGAAATAGATCAAGGTCAGGGCGCCGGATAGAGGCCTGGGCGCAGAGACACCTGTCGATCAAAGAAAGCGGGAGTCCAGGGTCCACGCGGCTGGGAATTCAAAAGCAGAAAGAGTAAAAACAGAAACGACAAGGTCCACCTTTGCACAGAGTCCTCTCCTAACTAGTGTGAGATCCGAGATGTAGGACGGGACATCACAGCCCTCGCTTTGAGTCTGTTGGGGAAGTCCCTGAACATATGCCCTCCTCACCCACACACCAAAGGGCTCGGGACTTATTTCCGAAGCCCCATCCGTCTAGTACTGAGGAACTGTCATCTCTCGCCTGTGCTCCTTTGGGGGCAGAAGTAAAGATACAAACGTGCATCAGAGATTTTCAGACACTCCTCCGGGGCAGTGTTTATCGTCTAAGGAGATGAACTGTGCCAGTAGGTTTGCCCCTGTCACACAGGTCCTGTCATAGATGACGTCTTCTCAAATCGTAGTATAATCCCACAGCCAAGAAACGGTGCCCAGTGTACCATGTTTTTCTATCCTGAAAATAATGGGCTCACTTTGTTTTATTGACTGGAGAGAGAGAGAGAAACATTAGTTTGTTGTTCCACTTATTTATACATTCATTGGTTGCTTCTTGTATGTGCCCTGTCCCAGAGATTGAACCCCAACCTTGGCATATCAGAACGACACCCTCACCAACTGAGCTACTTGGCTACTTGGATAGGGCTCATATTTTATAATGACAAGATATTGTCTTTACAACAACTGTCCATATATGTTTTCTCACTAATTGATGGGGGGAAAATATTAACTACCTTGCAAACATTTAAATGTTTTCCCAGTTTGGGCAAATATAGTATTGAATGTTACCTGTGTAAGGAATTTCTTCTACACCCATACATTTAAATCAAATTTTTTGTCTTTAGCTGTGGCAACCATTCCTTCCTGAAAAAACAAAAAATTACATTAAAGTCATCACTTTGTAAAACTATGTAGTCAAGATTTGGTATTAGTGCAAATAAGCAGTAAAAAAATTGTAAATGTGCAATTCCTAACATTTGAAAAGACAAAAGTGTGTGTGTGTGTGTGTGCGCGCCTACAGGTACTTCTCAACACCCATGATATGGTGGAATGAAGTGCTATTGAGTAAGTTAATCCATATTTTGGTTTTATTTGTTTGTTTTAATTTTTTTCTTCTTGTTGATTTTAGAGAGAGAGGAAGGGAGAAGGAGGGAGAGAGAGAGAGAAACATCAGTGAGAGAGAACATCAGTTGGCTGCCTCCTGCATGCCCCCACTGGGGATCCGGCCCACACCCTGGGCATGTGCCCTGACCGGGAATTGAACCGGCGACCTCTTGATGCATGGGTCAAGCCACACTGGCCGGGTTTAATCCATATTTTGTTAAAGTCAGAGAATAATTCAGAATACAGGTTGACTCTATAATTTTTGATATTTAAAATTAAAATTGGTTTAACAATGTAATTTAAAATAAAACTGAATGGTTAAAACAAGACCAATATTTTCAACAAAGTTATTCAAAACAAGAATATTTTTATCTCTATGTATATTTATCAAGGTACAATGTCCATGATGCTTGCCCTGAATTTACCTAATCTAAGTAATGCACTAGCTGGGTGTTTCTATAATAAAATAACGGGCCACCTAGTTCTTAACCTACTCATTATACCATGTTGATCAGGAATAGGCCAAGAGACCTTTCTCAAAATGCACCTGTCTTAATAAGCATCCTTCGAACACAGTTAAGTTTAAAACCCCTGCCCTCGCTCTCGGCTCCTTAGTCCTGCCACGTAACGGCGGCAGCAGACTCAGTAAGTCAGTGGAAACTCCCAGCCCAGAGGGCTGCGTAGATTCATTTCGACACCTTGAAATGCATCTGGAAGCAAAGATTTCATTTTATGTCCAAGGTGTTAATTATATTTGATATTTTTAAAAGTAAAACCTGTTTTTGAGAAAGCATCTGCTACCCAGAAATATTATGAGACACACGAAAGGAATTTCATTTAAATTTTGTACTTTCTATGGGTGATAGAATCAGTTTTCAAATGAATGTCTGTGCTGTCTTTTAATGTTGACATATTCTGTGAGTTTTATTCCTCTATTGACTACTGACAAGTATAGCCCCAAGTGCCTTTCAGTTTCAGTGGAAAATCAAGTGTTATTTAATATCAGATTTTATATTTAACAATGGAGAGAGTATATTATAAACGACCGACATGAACATGTTTCATTATAAAATTTGAATTGAAATACAGGACAACTAATGTTTCCGGGAAACACCCTCCCTTCGAAGCTATTATTAAAATGTAACGGGAAAAAGTTTAAAATATGCAAACAATTCTGTGTGCTGCTTAAAGGTGTGCACATAAGTGATTGAAGTATAACAAGAAAACATGGGGATGAACACCCAAAATACAGTGATGGTCACGTGGATGGCCACCGGTGGAAGAGCAGACATATGAACTGGCAGAGGCACACTGACCACACAGTTCATGGTCTATTTCTTAGGCTGGGTCACAGTATATGTGTGCTTATTACTTTATCGCTTTTTATATGTCTGGAATGCTACTGTTGGCTGTACCTTTTGATCGGAGCTAGAAATACTTTGGGGAACCCGTGGTTAATTTTGCTACCATACCATCCTGGACTCTAAACTATTGATCAAGTCAGAGAATGACGTTCCCTCAGGCTGTCAAAGAGAGCCCCCTCAGGTCAGTTTTGAACAACAAGACCCCTCTGCTGACCCTAAAGGAAACCATACTATGGAGAAAGTCGGACTGGACTGTCCCTGGGTTCCTTTTTTCCCGGAGCTTCTGATCACCTTTGGTAACTGATGCCTGTATTGTTTCTAATACGTCATAGAAAACGCTAGCTCTAGGAACATGTTAAATGAGCCCGTCTTGACAGATTCGGATCTGTGAGGTCAGGCGCAGAAACGCCTGATTTCCTGCCCACTTCGCCAACTCCCACATTGTTACCCACCGCCTTCCAGTTTAAGACACGGGCAGCAAGTGTGGGCTCTGTACTTTCATCCAGTGCAGCTCAGCAAAGGAGTCCTCCCTGGTATCGTCCGGGGCCCTAGCTGTGTGTGAGGTGCGGAGGGTTTCAGGACCAAGGTCGCTACTCACCCTTATGGCCGAGTTTTCCTCCTATTATCTGTCATTACCTGATGGATTCCGTATTCGCTCCCGTGGCTCGATGGCATGACCTTCAACCCTAGGACAGGTTCATAATTGTTCTTACAAACTGGTGCAAAGAATTGATGTTTCTTGGGAGATCACCTGAAATGTCTCTATTGCTGTCCTGTCAGTTACTGCATTTATAAAGCAGCCCTAAGGTGGGTGTCAGAAGGTGCCACTTCTACTCAGTCCTTACGTAACACCTTTCTTGGAATGTGAAGTCCTTTATATTTGAAACTTTTATGTTTCCATTGTTATTTCACAAATGAGAAAATTAAGGCATCAGATAGTGGCATGTTTGGAAGCCACGTCATGTTACAGAAACCAAGATGTTTGGTATAAAACTTTCTCTGCGTGGGGTAATGTCATTGTCACCTGAGTGTCTTTTAGGAAGCACTGTGTTCAGTGTTCCTAACTCAGTTGGACCCCTAGTTTCATTCTGTTTCTCCCCCCACTAGGCAAGAGAGGGGGAAGAGCAGCAAGGGGTTGTTTTGTTACCCACGGCGGAGGTAAATGGGCATGAGAGACCACTGTAGGGTAGCCAGTATTTTGAGTGTTATTACCATTATCACACCAGCAGGGGAGCATTCGGTCTCTCCATCTATCACAGCCCCCGTCACTCCCGGGATTTTACAGTTTGCTGCATGTATTCACTTAGGTAACGTACCTGGCTCTCCTGCAAGCATTTACCTCCTGTAACTTCCCTGTTATAGGTCCTGGGAAACCGAGGGCCTCTGGAGAAGCTGACTTCCTTTGGGTCCTGTGGAAGTGGAGGCAGGTCTAGAACTCAGCCTCTTTGAGGAGGCTGTGGTCAATTCGGTTGGCCGAAACCACCCCTTAGCCCTGGCGGAGGGAGGGGGCATAGTTGGTGGGAGCGTCATC